CGAATGTAGTAAAATAACAATAGTAAATATTATGATCGGCCTAGCAGACGATTTGTAGGATGAGGTTCCGTCACGCCAGAAAATAGCTTAATTCAAATATAGGATGTGGTTCTATCAGCATGGTATTCAAAATGGTACACAGAAGCGCGACTTCTAATAAACATTTGGCTAACTTAACGTTCGTACTGGAGAAAATGACTTTACATACAATAATAGAGCAGTTAATACTGTCGAAGTCTCCTGCATTTTTTAGTTAAGAGGATACAAAATGGCATTATATGGAAACTCATTGATTTCGGTGAGGCTTGTCCTCTATCCTTGATAACGGGAGGCGGCAAAATAAGCTTAAGTACATGCTTTAAAGATAATCTTAGATGATTTATACATACGTATAACACGGTGAGGTGACGCCCGCCTGAACTGACCGTGAGTCGGCGACCAACATAGAAGCGTATCTAACAGATCTAAAAATTGAGCGCGGTTTACAGAAACAAACCCGTTTATACTAAACAATTGGTATGAATGTTATGATGAAATAATAATATCTCTAGAAAAAGTATCGTTTTGGATCATCGCATACAGCAGCCTTATTGATGTGGCTTTCACTTATTATAGCAAACGCTTGTGTTGCACGGTACCGGTGGTGGTATGGAAAAACGAATTCACAAGTAATATTAACTTAATTCTATCGTAAAATTCAGTATAAACTCACCGTTACTCCTTGAACTTGCGAAGTTCTCGTTTGGTTATCGACAAACTCGTGGCGATGTGTATGGAATCCCCTTAGAGGTTTTTGTGACATGTTTTAATTGTCAGTCTAATCCGTTTTCCCCATTTGAAATTGTAAGCAATTAGGGTAAGGTACATTTAGTTAATCCGAACATGCAAAGCTAATTTCACTTTCTCAGTTAGCGAGGCTATTATTTGATTTCCAATTGTCTCCAACTATCGTTAGTCGTTAAATACATTTGTCAAAATATCTAAACACAGCACACGGAAGTGCGGAAGACAGATATAAGAGCATGTACATAGAGTAGAAGTTATTACAAATTGTCGAACTTCTTCAGCAAATCATGTACACATTTGACATCAACGACAGCGACCGAAATCAGAAACGTTTTATCAAATTTCCCGACACGAATATATATATATATATGTGTTTGTGGGGGGGAGGGGGGTAAGTTCACCTTTTGGACACCCACCAGCATGGCACCCATTCAACCCAGAAAACTAACAATTCAGCATCAGAAGTTAGACAGGCTGCAAATTTGTAACCCTCCTTAGAGGATGGTTTCATTTAGAGCGTAACTTCAGACCAGTAGTTATGTGGCCTGTGTTCAAAGCAGTCGGGCGTCGCCATAAAAAATGGAAAATGGTCCCGTCGTGTAGTTATGTGCTTATTGCTTCTAATAAAATGCCTGCCCGCTAGGATATCCTTCCTGTTTTACATCCGATAGTTTGAGCAGTTAGACGCTACTTCACACGGTTAGCTTGAAGACGAATCAATGTACCTTCGACCCCCTGGATTCAAACCTAGATTACCATGTATCCCTTGTTTAACAGATAAACATGTTACGTACTAGGCTATCACGAAGAGCGGTTTTTATCTAGGATAGGTTGTTCCGTGATAATTTTGTGGCTAAGGGCAGCTGGCTAGGTACACCGTATCAACGAGCATACGGTGAAATCGTCGTTGGAGCCAGATCAATATTCTTTGCAATATACGCGTTCAGTTCGCGAGCCCACAAAGTGAATCTCGCCAAGTTTGAGCAGAGGAATAAGATATTGACGTGTAAAGATCGTTACTATACTAGGTAGTTGTTTCAGTCTTCGTTTTGGACAATGGTTGAGACTTGTTCAAGCGGGCTCCTTAAACTTTATGAGCGTACGAGTGAGTGTTTATCTGTTTTTTCTATTATCACCGTTTTTCGAAGTACAGCCAAATTCGAAATAGTAATAGCGCGTTTGATCTGATGAAATAAAATTCTTTACCTCATGTCTATGAGTTGATTTCGGAATAATTGAAAACTTTTTACGCTTTTGCACACGTTAAATTCCTGTATGAATCAGTGAATCGGAGGCGATGGCGCGAGCACCAGCGAATTTCAGTGATCCCTGTGACTTCATCATTGTAAATGGTACTAGTAATGGCTGTGATAGATACATGACTGCATAAAAGTATAAACTCTTATTTAGATCAATGATTGAAATACATTGATACCGCAAACATAGTAGGCAATTAGTACTAATCAATACACGCCGAGGCCTATAGAGCCGATGGAGGCGCTTAGTCTGGTCAATTCATATTTGAATGAAAAATGAAAAAAATCCTAACTTAAATATATTTTACACTGTTGATTCGCCTATTCAACTCTTTTCACAGGATACGTTTATCGATGTACATATTACGGAAGATGAAATAAAACAAAATCTATGTACCACCGTGCTGTGGGCGATAATTGTGCCATGAGAGAAAGAGATGGGTTACGCAATATCTCGACAAAACGATAAAAACAATTAATATTTCTCCTGATTATGTATAATGAATCTGTGGGTGTTCATTGTACTCAATTAAAAAGGTTTAGTTCAAATTCGTTCCGACTGCTTCACTTCAAGTAAGTATTATTTTTGCTATCTAAGAGGTTTGTTGAAGGCATCGTGAGCTGTTTAATGGATATAGTATCTAATTTGCAGCTTTTCCATTGTTGTTTATACGTTTAGTATACAAAACTTAAAAATAGAAGAAACTTTTATGAAACATAAACGTTGCTGTAAAAGGCAGCGTCTGTGACAACAAAGTTCATGAGCATGTATTGCAAAGCTATCGCCCACCATTCGTACACATTCTGTTAAATGAGATATATACCGTTTTGCTGTTCATATTTAGAGGAAAGACGCATTTACAGTGCTCAAACCTAATCGATGCCTATCTGGTTAAGTTTCCGCTGTGTATTTTTTAAGAATATTACGTTCTTTTTGGAAGAAAAAGGTTGTTACGTCGTTCGAGACTTCTCTAGAAGGCCATTCTCGTGTTCTGCAATACTCGACGAAACTATGCCATAACTAGCATTTCCCATTCTCAAAGTATTAGCGGTGAAAGGTTTTAGCTCTTATAAAAAAATGTTCATTATTGTACTACTATGTGAAAGTCAGCTACCTACACAACTGACAAACTCAGTACTGGTATAACGGGAACGTGAAGACTCACTTACAAGCTAGCCTTACACGAATCCATTGGGTTAAATTAGCCGATAATAACGATTTCGAATACCAGACTACTAATCAAGGCGTTCTATAAATGCCGTTTCGATTCTGTGAATTTACGCGTTTGACAGAAAATAGAAGCTAGATGAACTGTGAACGCACACCTTTTTCAAAGTAATTTTGTTGATATTCGCAAAATATTCAGCGAACTTGTTAGATGATACGTTCAAGTTTCTCGCAGGATTTTATACACGTAATTTTGTAGTATTACCTTAAACGCCGCTGGGCACTAGACGCTAGCATTGACCGCTTTATGGCAGCCATGTTGAATTGTGCTGTGCCCAAAAATTGAATTCGCGCAGGTAGTAGTAGTAGCCTACGGGAGCAGATTCAGCGGTACAGAGCTGAAAAATAGGCTAGTTTGTTAGCACATTGACAGAAACACTGTTTCGAGCTTGTAGCTACCTGGAGTTTTTAGACGAAGCTTTTAGATTAGTTGGCCTGAAAGTGACAGAGGAGCAGCGAAAAAGAAAAACGCTCACATCGACCAGGTGCCTATCAGCAGTACGTAAATAATAGCTACTTTGAAGCCCAATTTACTTGGAGATAGTTCAGTATAAGGGGATTCGGTTGGGCTTTGCCTATTCATTCCTCGGCATTCGCGTATCCCAAAGCGTTTCATAAATGTTATCTATGAAAGTGTGCAAGTGCGTATCCAATAACGAAGCCAGGATCGACAATTATGTTCATCAAAGAAAAGACACGTCTTGCATTATATTAAAGGTAAAAATGAAATGTTAAGAGGAAAGGTGAGTGCTCATTAGTTTTTTGTTTCTATAGTTCACCTTCGTAGGGTTTCTATATTTACGGCTGAGGTTGACCTTTCACTCTAAAAATGAAACTCGGCGTAGTCAAACTTACGATTGTAGCGAACCAACATTCCCACGACATAAACGGTTGATTAGTACTCGTTTACCACTATAAATTAAACGTGTATAGAAATTTTAAATTACCATAGTATGTCTCATAGTATCCCTTCGATGCGTAGTTCGGTTGTTATAAAAAAAAAGGCATTTGTAATTATGTACTCGTCGGTAATTATTGTGCCACTGCCTATGTAAATTGGTAGATGTTGGCTTTTCGAGAGCTGAAATTTCCTTCTTAGCGAATCTTCCACAACTATACCATTCCCAGCCTCATACGCTTGGTACAATACAAATGTGATTAGTAGTAGATGAAGGAAGCGAGAAGTGTAATAATACTGCATAAACAGAAAAACTGAAAGCTTTTTTTTTTTTTATCTAAGCACCTTTTATTGACGGAAGCTTGGTTCTAATCAAATAGCCATCTTGATAAAAATGCAAAATACCTAGCGTATAGATAAACGCTGTTCGCGCTGTCACGCAACGTATAGATGGTGTCGCTCCATAGATCTTCTAGCGGCCAGTGTTATTGTGTGAAATAATTTTCCAAATATCATCAATAAGTAATAGTCGTAACGGTAGGACATACACGAAATCTAACTAGGGGATGTGGTGTAAGCGTCTAGAATACGGTCAGGTCATAAAATATCGTTGTGTTTGTCCGAGTCATTAGTACGAAGAAATGCTAGATGGATAATTTCGAAACTGCGACAACCAAAAACCACGGTAACATCTCAGGTGGATGATTTTTGGCAACCGTACGCTATTAGCGCCAAATAGAAAAAAGGCTATTTGTCTATAAGCTTAAAATGTATTATTTAAATTTACGTTCTTGTTTAGACGATACTAGGAAGTAAACAAATTTGCCCTTCATTAGTTTTCACAAATAAAAATGAGATTTATTAATTTCTCATCCACACGCAGTTGCTAGCATTTCGCAAGCAGTCCTCATTGTGTGGTTTGTCTTCTGCGCAGATCTGTTATTCTTTTTCTGTTTCAATAGTTTTTTCTTATTAATATTATTATGATCAGTGTAATATTTGTTGTTACTGTTTCTGCTGTTATTGATATAGTATTGTTGTCATTTTAATTCCGACAATCTTACGCCCACAGATTTTCTCTTTTGCATGCGTCTTTCTTAGCTTTTCTACCGTCTTGTACTAGGTAAGTATCATCGTACTTATTTCTTGACACTGTCATCATTATTATTAGATGCTGCTGTCTTTCATCAGCCTACACGAAGTCATATATATGCATCGTTCCATTCTGGCTGTGCTATTGCAACCACTCTTCCGTGTATGCTTGATCTTAAATTATCGTAGTATAATGTTATAATAATATATTAATATGATGATCTTCGTATAATAGCTGTTCTGTGGCCAGTGACCCTGACCAACATACTTATTTGGCTTTGGACTGAACTACTTCGTCTCGACGAAGTTCCATCAAGTGCCATTTTCTCGCTTCATCTCATACTATATATATATATATATATATATATAACATAACATAACTAGATGTTGATATATCAAGTTAGTGAGTCAATTGTGCCATTTGTCCTATTTCGGTTAAGTGTGTAATTGGCATGATGATCGCCATGCTGTAGAGGATCGTGCCCAATATATTTAGTATTCTTTCTCTTTGTTTCATAGCGCTGTTCATTTTAGCGTTGTGAAGTAAAAATCAAATTGAAGATCCACGCAAATCAGGTCGTTCGCAAGCGAAAACGCAAGCGTCTACAGATGCCAGTTTGCGAGTTCTCCTTTGTAATCTTCATAAATATAATTGCAAACACATTCGTAACCACATGAAAATAACATGTAAACATTCGGAAGCAAAAGAGTAGTGACGACTCTTCAGGGTTATTCTACGACAAACTGACTGTTGCAGTGACGTACAGCATCTCGCGCAGTTCGCGTTCAACACAACAGACCATCCGAAGCTCTCTTTCATCGCAAGAAAGAATCACACGAAAATACAAAATATCTTGCCTGTACGCACGTAATTTTGGCGCACATTTGGGCTATTTAGAGACGAGAGCAAGCTCTTTATCTTTCGAAAAATATTAGGTCTTTGTAGTATTTTCCAGAAACCAGTCTGTTCTACGCGACCAGTACGATATCAGCCTTAGGATCGACGCTTTCGATGTTAGATACGAGAAGTCAATTTACTGAGGGTTAGGCAGATCAGTTCAGTAAATGCGTCATGAGATTCAGCTTTTACTTACTACTTTAATTATATCTATCGTTGGATCATTTCTTCGGTGAATTCTAGTGACTTCAGCTGACAGGTCATATACGAATACAGCTGGTTCGATTAACCTCGAAAAGCAGCTTGTTCTAATTTAGTTCTCAAAAGCACTTCACTACCGCTCACACGTTTCTGTTAGATTTAAGCCCGCTTATACTAATTTTTAATTAGGATTAACCGCCACAATGGACGACCTCTTTCAGTCAGTAGAAATTTTAAGACTCGTTTATGAATAACTTCGTCTGACGTTCTTCGTTGATTTTCTTACGTTGTCTTCTTGAGAACAAGCGATTCCATACAATCCACTTATAGATTATACAAACAGCTCGTCAACTACAGATAATAGCGACCGCAGTACAAACCGATAACATTTCAGATCCTTTTTCCATTTGAACGTACGATGACCGACAGCTCTGCGAGCAGAATGTACGAGGAGAATACAAAAATGAGTGACGGTTCAGTGATTAGAAAGACTATTGCGGCCGAATGGAAGGCAGCCAAGACAGTAGTTTACAAAGCAGACGAAAATCTTTCAATATTCAAAATACTCAAATAGGCGAAACTACTTACTCAACTTAGCCTAAGATATAGTTTCGTACTGATTCTTCGCAGGTACACTGCAGTCGCTATACAAATAAGAGTAGCTAAAGGTCTCATTCAACAACAAATATATCGCTAATCATATGGATATGGAAAGAACTGTCACGTCTTCATGTATTCTAGCAGAGTAGTAACGTGATATCGAGCAGTTCCTTACACACAGAAATACGTCACGTTCGCTCGACTGTCACTCTTCCAAACGCTTTTCTCAAATCGTACATAATTTCGTCTGCTCTGCCCCATTACGAATTATGCAATCAATGCAAATATATTTTTGCTCATTTCTGTTCACTGATGTTCTTCTCCGCATTATCTTATCTGCCAGTCAGTAAAGACCCCAGGTGTTCAAATTCATATTCTCTTCAACACTATACTAGTTTGTGTATGCGTTGTGCCGTCGATGTTTCCCTGACCCGGAAAGGGAGAGAGAGCGAGAGAAAGAAAGAGATAGAGATTCGTTTGTTCTATTAGCACAGTCCTCCATGCTGTTCATACTTTGGTAATATCCTCTAAATTTATATTCGTAGGCTTCGTCTTGTTAATTATGTTTTATCCAAAAGACGATACGGCGTGTCGTACCATGATTACTGCGTTACGTCTTTTCCTGAACACGCAACCACCGGGCCCATTTTCGACTTCAGCTTTGTTCAACAAGGCTCTTCACCCGTGATGAACTGACCCTCTGTACGTTAGTGGGAATGGCCTGAGAACGTACCGTCTGAGTTGTATTCGTTTTCTCGCTCGCAACTGGAACTTGTTATTAATATTACACTATCGTGTACGGATGGTTTCATATGGCAGGGCTTGGTTAGACGTTTCTCCCGGACTACATTGTACGTCCGTGGTCAAAACAGCTAGTTTGAAGTTCCACAGATGGAACCATCTAAGTTTCAAACCACAAACGCACCGTGGTAGTTGATCAAGTGTGGGAACTGAAAATTTTTATTCCGACGCCCCTACCAAGCTGACTTTGTTTCGCACACACGTTGTCTACCAGATGCCATGACTGCGACCACCAGGTGGGTTGTGAACGCGCACCGACGACTTCGCATTTTTGTTATCATCGATCTGAGCACCGCTAAGGCTGAACGACGAATCTTGCAAATTGCGCGATCCGCCCTTGGTAAGAGGCCGGCTGTGGAACTCCTTTGGCTGTGCCGGGAAGATATCACGGGAAGGCCGCCTCTGATCGAAAGGCGTTTCTCCGGAACGAACCGAAGCGCCGTCGACGGAGTCTGCACCACCGCTGGGAGCTGGGGAAGCAGCAGCCGATGCGCGACTCGAACGCGGTGGCTCCATGACCTCGGCCTCGGTCGGCACAGGCGGCAGCGCGGTGCGAGCGCGGATCCGGGCAAACGCGTGTTGACCATTGGCGGGCATCTCGAGCAGACGGCCCCAGCCCTGGCTAACATGCACTTCGCCCTCGTTTACCACGACGCGACCGCGCGCAACAACAAACTGCAAAGCATATAACAACGTGAGTGCAAGAAAGCACTAAAAGGACGATAGACACTAAATAGGTAGAAGGACCGAATGCAAACGTTGCTAAACGCAAAATACAGTAAGAGAATTTACGATCTCTAGGTAAGATGCGCTATCACAACTGTTGACTGTGAGAAAGACGCACATTGACATAGCTAATAAGGTGTATTGCATATATCATGTCGTCCAAACAGATACACAGAAAAAATTTGATATGAAGCTTTCGCCCATCAATGACTTAAAGATGACGATCTTTACATAACCCAAAGCATAAGTTTACCTTTGGAGAACCCCTACAGATCAGCTTTTCAAAGACGTTGAAGTCACCAGCGCAATGATGATTGGCTGGGGTGAACTTCCTGACAAATCGTGGATCCCAGACAACAATGTCGGCATCTGAACCAACAGCGATTCGGCCCTTTTTCGGATATAGATTGAAGATCTTCGCAGCGTTTGTTGACGTGGCAGCTACGAACTGACAAGGATCGATTCGACCGCGGTTGACACCCATCTCCCACAAGACGGCCATACGCTCTTCGACGCCATTGCAACCATTAGGAATCTTAGTGAAGTTACTTTCACCTATCGCCTTTTTGGATGCATCAAACACGCAGTGATCACTGCCAACGCACGATAAGACTCCGCTAGAAATCATATTAATCATATGTTCGCGGTTTCTTGGGTCGTCGTTAATTGGGGGGCTCATAACATGCGCTGCAGCGTGACGGAAGCACGAGTGACGTTGCTCTGAACCGTCGATTCCTATGGCAGCGCCCAATGTCTCGCCAAATACAACCTGACCGAGGTTGCGCCTGCGGGAGACCACGTCTGCCGCAGACTTCGACATCACATGTGCCACGTATAGTGGGCAGTTTACCTTTGCGAGAGAAAAACGTTAAAATTTAACATATTTACGCAACAACAGGACAACTCCAAATATCATTACTGCGATAAGTTGTATTACCTGTTTCATGAGATTTTCATTTCGCTACATAGCGGGTAACAAAGAACTAAGTACATTATTTTTATTGCCTGGTCTTTGTAGTAATGATTTATAATCAGCGGTGCTAGGGTGCAAATACGTATGTAGCTCTCTTATTATTCTAATCCTCTACAAGTATTTTATTAAATGGACAGACTACTACAGAGTAGAAAATGCCTGAAGTTTATATATGCACCTGATGCGCTAGAACACATGCGCGATTTGTAGCTTCCGCTTCGATCTCATCGTCGCGTGAAAGCAGATGACCCTCTGGAGCAGACACACCTTCATTCAAAAGCCGCTTCTGATTCTGTAAATTTGCAATACACGATCAGTGCCAAAAACCAACAGGCAGCAAATCCACACAAGACAAAGTTGAAATTGCCCACAATCGCATCAGCACCTATCATAGGAGATTAATGTAGCTAGAAAAGACCCCTCCTGAGCTGTCCAGGGTAAAGGAAATAAACGTATTGTGTAAATTTTTTGTGTGTTTTTTGTGTAAGTTTTTATACTTCTACAGCATAAAAATACTGGCATATCGGGCTTTGCAACTGTAAGTCTGCTGCGTATATCACTGCGACAATACACAGCACCTAAGTAATGTTTCGAAAGTGACTAACAAATTTACCTCGTAAGCATCGATATTAGCTTGGCACGTGTTTTTATGTATTTGTTGTGCAATGAACATTCAAAAGCATTAAGAAAAACTGCGCTTAAAGTCGTACAAGTAGTCATTAGGAGGAGAGGACAAAGGGACAGAAGTAGAACCCAAAGCAGAGTCCAAAAGGTCCCACAGCTGACCTTTTTCACTCACCTTGTCGTCGGCGGTATCACCTTCTTCACCAGTCTATTAGGCATCCATGCCGAATTAAGTTGCATTTATCGTCACCGCCAGAAGCCCATGATCAATGTATCATCAGGTAGAGGTCATCCCATGGTTTCACCGTAGGAGAAGAAGCAAAAGATTTAAAGGAAAAGCGCCCATTGGAAGCCAGGAACTCCAGGGAGCCTTGTTTCTGCTAGGAGATGCATCAATTATGCGGGATTTATTATGCACTACCATTCACAGTCAACAGAATCAAGAGCCCCGAAGTCTCTGGCTGTGCGTGCGTTTAGCTGTTATAGCATCTGTCAGTTAGAAATTAGTTGAAGTGTAAAAAAAAGCGAAAACTAGAAAAATCACCTTGCCATAAATGCGGAACACACATGGACAGAAGATTCACATCACAAAAGCTACCGACAGCAAAAACTGAACGGCATAAGAAGTAGCGTAGTAAGTATATCGATTAATCCTCGTGTTAAGCAAGCAAAAAACAGTTAGTGATAAGCTGGGCTGAACAGACATACTGAACCCTTTTGATATCAATGCTCGATGAGATGTTTGAAAAAAGGCAAGCGATGCGTTGTTTTTGTTTTGTTTTCAAGACCAGTAATTACGTATGAAGTTTAAGGTGCAAACAAACTGTCACGGAATTCCGTCGCCAGAATCGCAATTGTTAAAGCTAAAGGCCGCAAAGATACTCAACTCGTCGAACTGATCAAATCGTAATCACAATCGTAGTAATCGCGAGTGCGCAAATAAATTCACTATATCTGGAAAGAAAATGTATTAGGTGCGATATGCAGACTCATCCCATAACGTCACCGTTCCATTCGCAGAACTTGACTGCGGAACATTCTTCCTTATAACGGTTACATGTTTCGGCACGTGTTTAACAGCCTGGAACGGTGATCCATGCCATTCTTACCTCTGCAACGATGTCTCCGTTTTCGGCGTGCACTTGAGCGAGCGCTCCCAATCGGGAACATTGTTTCATACCACGGATAAGGTCCTCGTCTGATATCATCAACACATCCTAGACAAAAATAGGTCATCAAAGCAAAAATTTACTACTCATCCCGCTTTGCATAATCTATATCAGTTACTGACAAATAGAAGCAAAAAAAGAAGGCAGATCTGTATTTGTTAATGAGAAACTTAACTATGGTTGATCTTTACTTATTTACTTCGTCATTTATTTAATGAGTAGCAACAATACATACTTATATTTGCTTTTTTGTCGCATAGAAGTACTAATGCGTATATGGACTTGTGAACAATTGGCATTGTATCTTGTTTGTACCTTATAGGCCATGAACATTTTGAAGGAGTTGACGCCTCGCTTCACGAGCTCAGCCATATCCTCCTCCACCTGATCGTTCATTTCGTCGAGAATAACATGAAATCCATAATCACAACAGGCCTTTTCCTTTGCTCGGGTACAATAGTCTTCGTGTGCTTCAAGCAGGGTCATGCCAGGCTCCTTTTTCGATACAAAATCCACTGCAAGAGGTGTGAAGTATAGCTTAACGTCGCTACAGTTATCAAGGACAGAACCTTATTTTTAGCGCAAGTACTCCCTTGTACATCCAGCGAAGGAATTTCGCAATAAGAATACTACTAGTGCTGATTAATCATCCGTTAGATTAAACGAATACATACATAGCACCCAATATTTAATCCACAGTAACTGGGAGGTTCTAACTTGTCTCAACGTCGACCTATGTTCTTGTGCACTTACAAATTGTGGTAGTTCCACCAGCGAGGGCGGCCTTTGTGCCAGTGTAGAAGTCATCAACGGTTCGTGTACCCATAAAGTAAAATTCCATGTGAGTGTGAGGGTCGATACCACCGGGCATGACAAGCATGCCTTTGGCATCGATAGTTTCGCAACCGCCAGGCGCAATAATATCCTTGCCCACCTGTCTAAAAGGTCGAAACAGATGGACATAACTATTACAGATAATGATAAATGGTACAGTCGTAAGCTGGCCGTTGACCACCCTGGCCAGCCGGGTCCAACTTCGCATCTAACTAATAATATAAGTGGATTTTAGGTAATTGGCTCGATACATCCTCAAACGAATTCAGCACACTTCAAAAGTATTTATCCTTTTTCCAATTTAGATGACATGCTCGAAATGATTTTTCTAGTTAATATGTGAAAAAAAGTTTATATCGATTCACTTAGTACAATTGAAGCTCAAACGGCTGCTAACAAATTGTGTTCTAAGGAAGAATATTATCATCATTAATATATCAATATTAAATCAAGGTAACTACACGGAACGTTTACGGCATTAACTAACTAAATTGTAGTACAATTATAAATGACCAACACAGTCGCGGTAATAATTTTACCTCTTGTATTATTTATTATTGCTGCGACAGTTATTATCCGCATTTCATGACTACCAATACCGTTGGTCATTACTTCAGCAGAGATTATAACGACCCAACGATGATACGTGAATTTGGAGTTATGAGGTTATATCGCTCTTTATTTAAGGTCTCTTCACACACCCGCAGATAGTCTTGCCAAGCCCGGCTTGCCCTGAGGCCGATTCGTAACTACCTAAAAAGCTACATACCTTGCGCTACAGGGAAACAGGTGGAAATAAATGACCACGCAAGGAAAGGTTAACACGCATGCCCTATTGGTTCTACAACACTAATAGAGCACACGGAAGTATGTACATGGCGACGAACACCATCACACAGACTTCGCCCTTGTCTCGTTGACAAACATCAATGATGCGCGAAATGCCGGGAGTAGGGTTTCCTCTATACAACCTGCACAACGCGGAACCCACTTACAGCATGTTGCATCTGATTATGGCGATTCTACAAGAAAAGTTATGATAAAGTGGCCCATTCGATCAACTAAGGCGCTAACCTGGGTCTACTACTTTTCTGTTTGGTGCCCTTCCGAGTTCAGGATCTAGCTAAATACGTAAAAAAGCTGCTTTCATGTTGACGATCTTGTCACCCTCGAAAGGAGTCGATTTTTTTATCCAGCAGTTTATCGCAAAGTTCTCATTATTGATGAGGCTGGACTGGTGGAAAGCATCGAAAGCAAGGACTGCAAACTTTCCTCGCAGAAGCCGCTTTGCTGCTATCGACACGCTGCATGTATGGACGCGTAGGCAGAACGGCCTAAAAGAGTTGATCAGCTCCAAGTACCCCTGGCCTAATTTTACCTATAAACCCATACGCACCACCTTGGACATTTTTACGTACGGCGTTGGCCGTGTTAAAAGTGAAAACCACCTCGGTAGCTTCTCACCTAATCCACGAAATGTGAGAATCGGTGAAGAACTAGAGACGCGAATTCAAACTTCCCACTGTTCTGCTTATTTGATGTTTATCGGACAAAAAAATGGCAAAGGTTGACCACGAATTCATCAACGAAGGCTGCAGAAAGACTGACAGAGTTAATCGGTACATTGTTACGACACGTTAGATGGATTTCATCGAATGTACGCTAGATACGATTAGCCGGACGTTCTGTACGTTCTAGGTACCACACAATGTCAGTTTTTCTGATTGGGCACATGGAATAGTACATGAACTACACACATACGCATGTACACTAATCGGTATAAACAATAAAACAAAAATCGACAAACGATTTGATCAACCGACCCGTATTTCCCCTCGTATGTATTAAAGACTCCTAGAATGCTGGAACGAAATATTGCCTCTCCGAGATTTGTCATTAACAAAGATATGCGTTTTGGAACCGCTAGGAAAATCAGATGTTATGGATTAGAGGCCAACTCAGTAGAACACTTGGTACAGAATATTTCGTATGGAACAATTAACAAAATATTATCAATATCTAAGTTATTAAACAGAATCTCTAAGGGATCCGTATGAAAATAAGCGTCACTGAGAAGCGTGAAGGATATATGTAGTTTAATTAAACTATAATGCTATGATTTATTTGTAGACCTTCGTTCGAGAGACTTGTCCTATTCTGTCCTGTCAGTTATTGCCAGCTTTTTAGAAAATCTGGGCCAAATTTGTATATATCAAGGTTAATAATAATAATGTAGACGCTTAATGGGATCGTGTCGGTCCAAAGGTCAGGGAGTCGAACCGGAATTAATGCAGCAATTAGGATAACCTCTGGAACCAATTGGGGCGTGCAAAATTTTGCCACGGGTTACGGATTACAAAACTAATCCCCTTTTCGTACGACATGGCCTATTTTGAGCTGATTACCATTCGGTCTGCTTGGATTTCAAGTAGTTCTGTTCCGCAAAGGTGATTTTAGATTTTGCTGAAAAGGAACTAATAGCAATGTATTAGATTAGAGATTAGCCAAAGAAACGCCCCGAAGCGAAATTCGTTGTTTGCATTATCTTAATGAATTGTCTTTCCCAACCTAGTAGGTTTAGCGGCACTGGCGATGCCTTATTAAGTGTTCTGTCACGAAGCCTAGACAAGGACTCGACCGCTAGCAAAGAGAATAAATGCGTCCAAAATTATCAACCTTTGTAAACACCTGCAACAAAAGACATTGATATATCGAAGGACGTCATTGGCTCCTTTTTTGAAACCGTAACTCTACAACAACTCACGCTATCATTCCTTATAGCTAATATGACTCGTCTCACAACTGTTTTTCATGTTAGATAATATAACTTACAATAGTCACATTGCTGACAAAGCCAAAAACGTATGGCTTCAACTGCACTAGATAATCACTGCGTCACACTGCTAGATTACAATATATATGTACATTCGCCTCGAAAAGAGATGCAAGGGAAAAGGGTTGACAACAGAGCTCGCGACCTTAACAACAAATCTGCATACAGTTACAACCTCAGATCTGTCATTTCTCGGTCGGTAGGACGCCAGAATGGAGAGCCTTCGAACAAGCAACTGATGCAGAATGTGCCAATCGACCTTGTAGATTTGTGTTTTGAGGTAACGGAGAGAGTCGAAAAGAATGATGTCCGTAGAGACTATAATGAAATTTTACTGCATAATGTTTCACTTTCATTATTAAAATCAGTGTTGAAAAATTGACTCAACTGTATCTATTGATTTACAATAGTAATAAAGACAGCGTAGTAGACCAACAATTCACTTGAAATTTCCTATTATATATATATATATATAAATTTCCTATATTCCCTAACACGTACTCGAGTCGTAGCTAGATGTACGCGTTCCCTATAGATTAATGTTGTTTGAACCGCCATATAGGTTCTACCAATTTTCGTACGGGATAACAATAGATCATTGAACTGGAAACATTCAATTAGCAAACAGGCTGTGAAAATAACGAATAAACGACATCATCTTAAAAATGTAGTGGAAACTGGCTTTATTCATTACGGCTATTGATTGGATATCCCGTACAACTGCAGCATATAATGGTTGCCTGTTCTGCCGAATGGCTAAAGCTAGCTTTGACCACTTTCCAGTCAACAATACATTTATGAATGAAAATGATTCTGTCGCTAGACGTTCCGTAGACATTCTCATAGCTAGCTGCCAGTAGAGAACAACACTTGTTTCTATAGTTCGGATTTTACGTCCAGTATCGCCTTTAGGCATTTTATCAGAATGGCTCCCCTTCAGACTTCTAAGCTAAACCACCCGAAATTTAGTAGGCGAACAGATACTACTCAAGTATCACTCAGCTGGAAGACGACTTAAGTAGTTCTACAAAAGTAGCACTTTTAGCACTCAAATGGGACCACAGTGTCCTCGTTATATCTTCACCATGCAAACAATAACGAATAGAACAACAGTCCTCACAAACGAACACAGTGACCTTCCTACTCGTGACCGGCGGTGGTTCGTCCAACAGCAGCAGGCATGCATCGGTTGTTGGGTCCCACTTGGCCCATATAACGTAATCAAATTGGGGCCCTAATGTTTCCGCGGCTTCACTGCTCTACTACAGGTCTGTTCCTACTGTTGCTGCCATTGTTTCGGTTATTGTCGACGTCTCTGTGTCCTGTATTTTGTTGCTATTGGCGTGGCTGAACTTCACAGACGAATATTGTGTCGTTATCGAACGAAAAGTGCGGAATGACACTATTTTCTATCAGTTTTATTAGATGAATTTAGCGCGTAGCATTGACGATGTCAAAGTCAACAGCGACAAATCAATCGTGCAGTCCTTTTGCGCCATAATTCTTCCATTTACGTTTGGAAAACGTACGAAAACAAAATGGGGCAGAGATCTGTTGCTGCTAGCTATGTAGCTACCTCTTGCAGTGCAATATCACACAGCGCGAAGTGACCTTGGTTTAAAAAATCTATCCGAATTTATTAACGTGGTCTTACGCTCGAGACGTTTAGCCAGAAATAGGTCGCAGCAGATAACATGTTTCCACTTAATAGGCAGAACTCTACCTGAGCGCTTAGATTCCCTGTTTTCATAGAAGTGCATTATCTACTAACATGAAAAGGGAGGGGGGTCTGAATGCGGAGCTGAAACAATCTACTCTTTAGCTATATATACGGACAGTAAGAGCCGAAGCGAAAAATACTCTGATGTGGACAGACAATCTCTGCCATAGAAAAGATACGGTACAATTACACAAGAACGAATAAAAAGAAAGTTTATCACGGATCTATATGATACCTAAATAGTATTTAATTCGTTTTCTTTGCTATGTATTCTAGAAAAGGCAGTAGCTTAAGACTATTTTGAACCATTTGAACTTACCGTCCGCGTTTTTGGTCGGTTAAATTTACCTTAGCTCTTCCATTCTTCTGTTTAGCATAGTATATGGATTGCTATTACGGTGCTCCTAATCATACCTGAGCGTCTATCGCACCTGTCGTTGCTTATTCCGCACTGACTGGCTTATTATATTTCGGTTTTTCGAAATGATGATTCGCGTGAACGTATATTACTGTTAGTGTATAGTTCTGATACCGAAAAGTACGAATAAGCC